CAACTTGGATCATTTAAGACTTGGAGGAGCTAAACCACTTGTGCAAAGTCACAAGGCAAATGAAAAAGAGTTCTGAAGATGCCCACTGGAAGCCTGGGCAGGAAGGAAGACAGCTATGCAGAAGGGTCCCACAGCCCAGTCTGAATTTCAACTGCCCCCAACTCCACACCTTTCTGCCACAGTAGACAGTGCCAGAGACAAAGTAGCAAAGGAGGAAATTCTGGCTGCTGTGAGAAAAATCCCAGGACTCTCAGAAGGCAGGGCAGGCCTGAGTGCTGTCAGGCTCTGCTGTGCAAGAGCCTGGTGGCCTTGGATGGATAGCAAGTCCTTCCTGAACCTCCCAGTTCATCTCTAAGGAGGTGACAAAAAACCTTCTTGCCACTTGCTCATTGCTGGGATTCAAAACACAGAACCAAGGAGGAGCTTAGCCTGAGACCTGCTGGATAAATTCTATCCCTTAAGACTGATAACAACAATAATAACAATAATTATGAAGACGATGACAGCAATGAGGATGTTATCACTTGGCAGGCACACCATCACAAATGAAGTACTTCCTGGAATGCAGAAGTGGACGCCCATGTGAGAAACAGAAGGATAAGAAGGGAGGGGAAAGGGGTAAATTGACATCCCTTGGTGTCAGCAAGCACTGTTCTCATTCATTCACTTCCCAAATCCCAAGACTGGAATTTGCCCACTGGACAAGTAGAACAAACTGAGGCTTCTCGGGGCTGCTCAGTTATTGCTTCTTTGGCTTGATCAGGCAAGTAGCCTATTCCCAGAGGCCCCTAAATTGCAAGCTTTGGCTTGGGGGTTGGCCCCTGTGTGCAAGGGTAGGCCCCAGAATGCACTGACATGGGCCAGGAAAAATCCCTAGAGAAAGTTCCCTACAGGGTCCTATATCCATTTGAGAGAGGAAAGAGTTCAATTCTCACCCTTCAGCTCTTCTCTGCTCCACCCTCCTGTCAGCCCCTTCCAGAGGGGTCGAGCCAGAGAGTCAGGAGCTGCCAAGGAAGTAATGAGTAGACACCAGGGCAGATAGGATTCAATGGCAAAAGAGGAGCCAGCAGACACAAAGTTGAAAAGTCAGCCTTGAAGAACCAGACAAGAGACTCCATGGAGAATCCAGTCCGTAAGACAGTGGAGGGCAGCTAGGGTAATCGGGAGGAATTGATAACTGTTAGTCTGCAAGGGACACAGATGGGCAGACGAACGGCGGAGATCATTCTGTATAGCTAGCCAGATAGTGGGCGGGGGCAGGGGGGAATGAGGGGTATGCTGCTAGATGGGTCTGGACAGATGGACAGCCAAATGGTGGTATTAGAGAGGCATGCCCAGAACAGAAAGACAGCCAACCAGACAACAGGGGCTGCCCCTGATAAATGAACCGCCAGTGAGACCGCAGGGGTCTCCCTGATAAATATCTAAGTGGCAGGTTTCATCCCTGATGGAAGGACAGATGAGCAGGAGGATCTATCCCCGATCACAGGCAACCAGGTGGCAGAAGTGACCTACAAAAAGTGGGACCAGATAACACTGCGGGGGTCTACCGCACTCCTTGTTCGACGATACCCAGCCCATGCGACCACCCCTGGGTCTGCACCCCAGCCCCTGCAGGGAACCCTCTGCCCAGGCGTCCCACAGGGACCGCCTCCTTGTCCCAGTCGCGGGTACGCAAACGCCGCAGTTACGCCGGCGGCGCAGGGAGCGCCATTCCCGGTACGCCCTCCGCGCCCTAGGCCGCCGCCCTCCCGCAGTCCCCGCCGCGCTCGCTCACCGACCCACGAAGTTCTCGAGTACTGAGCTCTTGCCGGCGCTCTGGCCGCCCACCACAGCGATCTGCGGCAGGTCCAGGTGGCAGCTCTGGCCGATGGAGCTGAAGGCGTCCTGCAGCTTGTTGACCAGCGGAATCAGCTCTTCCATTCCGCGGTTGCCCATGGCGCCGGCGGCCCCGGCCCGAGCGCCCGGCGCTCCGCGCCCACCCCCGACCCTTAACGACCCGGCCCCGCGGCGTCGGTGGCCGTTGCTCCCTGCCGGCCCGGGTCTCGGCGCGACGCCCGCTCCCGGCTCGGCCTCACGGTCGCCGCCTCATCCGGTTCTCAGGCGACATCCGACCTGAGCGACCTCCCGCCCCGGCCTGTGGGCTGCTCCCAAAGCACTTGTGTTGCAGCCGATTGGTCAGAACCGCTATCACTCCTGCACTTGAGCCAATGGAGGCGAGGCACGGACTTAAGGCTATGTAGGCCTTCCCCCTAGGGAACGTCACGCAAGCTCATTGGATGAAAGAAGTGTCGCTGGTGTCCAAAGGCCAATGGGAGCAGAAAACGAGTTGTCAAAGCAGCGGGGCGGTGTCTCTGGAAACTACACGTCGGATCCGCCCAGTAGGGAGATCTGCGTCTTATTGGTAGGCAAACACGCCAGTCGTGAAAGCTGACCAATGATGTTAGGAACCGATCCTAAAACATTGATTTGTCTCTTGACACTACCTACTTCCCTATAAATTTCCCATTGGCTTATATAAATACCACTTCGCAATTCCCGCCAATAAGAGAAAAAAGGGTGGGCTTTAACATCCGAATCTTGACTCTGATTGAAGACTGTATCTGTCAGTTGAAGTAACTCCGTTCTTACCAGTGATGTTCGTGTTACAGTCCTTCTGAAGGGGAGGGTAAGATCCACCGTACTTGCCGTGGGGTGACACCTCGTGGTAGTAACCAGTGATTGTCACTTGAGTGCCGGGGTCTTGAGAAAACTACAAGTCCCACGATGCCTCACGGCTCCCAGCCCGCAAGTCAGCTTTCGGAGTAGGGTCCCTACTCGCTTTGAAGATGAGTCAGACGACACTATTGCTTCCTAGGGAGAGGTCATAGTCACGCCTTTGCAAATATGGTGCCTCCCCCCATCTGCGAGTGTCCCATCTTAATGCGTTTAGTCCATCACGGATCTGAGAACTCAATGAAACAACAGGATCCTTTCCCTAATGCAAAGCCGCTGTTTTTCAGACAAAGGTGGGGATTCTGGAAACTGTAACTCTAGGCCCAAAGTGATTTTATTCCTCTGGGCATACGTGGGCCAGAAAACAGGGAATTCAGTGTGTTAATAGGAGCAACACAGAATGCAGAAGGGGATTGACACACGAGTGGGTACACGGACATGCAGAAACAGTGGGAAGGAGGATGACAGGTCTCAAAAATGGGCAAAAAAATTATTCACACCTAACTTTTTTTTTTCCCTTTTGAGGTAATAAAGAGCCTTTTACTCTCCAAAACTGAAAACAAATAAGTGTGAGGGAGAGAGAACAACCAATAAGGTTTGGTATTGCAGACGTGATTCCAACTGCAGAAACTAGAAACTCCCTGTCCATTCAAGGAGTTGGTTGAATAATAATATGCAGAAACTGTAAAAAAAAATAAGAAAAAATAAAAAGAAAGAAAAAAAGAGAAAAGATTAGGAAGCTCTTTATGTACTGGCCTATACAAAATTTGAGGATACTAAGGTGAGGAGGAATAAAATTCAGAACTGCATTGTACAGGATTCTGACTTTAGAGAAAAACAATATACATACATGGAAATTTTCTGGAATGCATAAATTAATACAAATAGTTTCACTATTGAGTTGCTCCTCACAACTTTTTCAGTTTTAAAAACCTAACTTAAAAACACCAGCTCTGTAACAGCTCATATTTGGGTTAGATCATGGGCCACTTTGTTAACTGTGTGATCCTATGGCCTACATGTTTCTGATTTCCCCAAAACTCATGTTGAAACCGAACCCCAATGTGATGGTATTTGGAGGAAAGAACTGATTAGATCATAAGAGCAGAGACCTTTTAAATGTAATTAGTGCCCATATAAGAGACCCCAGGAAGCTACTTTGTCCCTTATACCATGTGAGAACACTTTGATAGTCATCCATCTAAGAACCAGGAAGCAAATCCTCACCAAACACCAAATCTGCTAGCATCATGATCTTTCCAGCCTTCAAAACAATGATGAATAAATTCCTGTGCTTTCTAAGCCACCCAGTTCATGTCTGAACAGTCACTGATAGTAACCAAATAGCTTCATAGCTCTGAACCTCAATTTCCTCATCTATAAAATGGGAACATACCTGTATCTTGCATCATAACTTTGCAAGAATTAAATACACATGACAACACTTTAGTGATAGTATGTGTGTATGTGCCTAGCTTGCCAGAGGCCCTGGGTTCCATTCCCAGGATGGCCCCCAGAAAAGAAAACATGCCATAGCGTAAAAATGTTAGATCACATGTATTACCACATCATTTACTGACAGCTACACTGTGTCACATGTCAATTGAAACTAAAAGCCAGGCATGGTGGCACATGCCTGTAATCCTAGCTACTTGAAAGGCTGAGAAAGGAGAACCACAAGTTCTAAGCAGCCTAAGCAAGTTAGTGAGACCCTGTCTCAAAATACAATTTAAAAGGGCAGCGCTGGGGATGTAGCTCAGGGGTGCAGCACTTGCCTGACATATGTGAGGCCCTCAGTTGAATTAAGAGTCAAGACTAGCCAGGTGCCATGGCACACACCTGTAATCCCACCAGCTCGGGAGGCTGAGGCAGGAGGCTTTCGAGTTCAAAGCCAGCCTCAGCAACTCAGTGAGACACTTAGAAATTCAACAAGACCCTGTCTCTAAATAAAATACAAAAAGGGCTGGGGATGTGGCCCAGTGGTTAAGTGCCCCTAGGTTCAATCCCCGGTACCCCCCCACACTTAAAAAAAAAAAAAGAGTCAAAGGCTGGGGCTGTAGCTCAGTGGTAGAGCACTTGCCTAGCAAGGCACTGGGTTCAATCCTCAGCACCACATAAAAATAAACAAAGCTACTGTGTCCATCTCCAAATAAATAAATAAATAAGAGTGAAGACAAAAAGCAGAATCAAACTGCCATTTCCTTGACGGTGACCTTAGGTAAGCTATTTCCTCTCCCTGGGCCTGTTTCTTTACCTGTCAACAGACGGACAAGAGTGATCACCTCCAGAGTCGTTGGAAAGCCTGGACCACAGGAAAAAGGATGTAGCTCCCACCCTGAGACCACATCCTACATGCTGGGCTGTGCCAAGTGGTTTCCAGTTACCAGCTGCTGCCATGGTTCCTTTTTTTTCCCCTCCCCCCTGCACTGCTGGGGATGGAACCCAGGGATTCCTGCATGCTAAGCATGGTCACTACCACTGAGCCAATGTGGTCACTTCTTACTCTCAGTGGGAGGGGTGGACAATCCAACTGCAGTAATGCTCAGACTGGGAAGGTAATGGGGACAGGCCACCTCCCAAAAGAAAACAGACACACACTACGTTAGAATTTTTAAAAGCTTAAAAAATCCTTCAGTATCTTCCAGCCCCAACCTCCATTTCCCTTGGCCAGGTCAGCCCAGTGTTATTCCCACAGAGGCCAGGGCTTCGGTGGCCCAGGTGGGACAAAGGGTGTGGTCCCCATACATGGTGCTCATGAAGTTCCTCACGAAGTCAGGGAAGCGCTTCTCCACGATACTGGTGCGCATGGCACTCATCAGCTGCAGCTGCAGGAAGGGAGCATCAGCATGGGCCAGGGGCACCCAGGAGACCTCCCCCTGCCCTCACCCACCCCCAGGTATAGGCCACCTGGTAGGCGATATTGTGGACAGTGAGGTGGTGCAGGGCGGCTGTGTTGTCACTGTGCAGTAGAGCGTGCAGGAAGGCCCGGCTGTGCCTGTAGGTCAGCAGGGGGTGGCTGAGCAGAGCCCAGCTTTCCCCACCTCCAGCCCCCAACTACATCACCTACTTCTTGCAAGTGGGGCAGGTGCACTCGGGGTCTATGGGGCCAAAGTCCTTCTCATACTGCTTCTTCTTCAACTGCAGGTTGCCTGTGGGCACCAGGGCAGAGCCAAAGCGCTGGGGACCAAGAATGGCAGTGGAAGGCAGGTCACAAGGTCTGAATCCTTCCTGGTCCCTCTCCCGCTTCCTTCTTCCCCCATCTCCCTCCCTGCCAGTACCCTGCCCATCTGTCAGCTCCCTGCCCAGGGCCTCACCGCTGTCCTTGTGGGATAAACACAGTCGAACATGTCACATCCAAGAGCCACGCAGACCACCAAATCGGTAGCATAGCTGCGGGTAGGGGGGCAGCCATGGAGGGAGTAAGAGAGAGCCTGAAGCCCTTACATGGGCTTCCCAGGCCCCTATCCCACCCCTAGCTGGGCCACATTGTCTCAAAACCATCCCCTGGGGGCAGTCATGACCTCCTTAGTTCCCCCACAGCAGGGCTGTATCCTTCCCCCATGTCTTCTACAAGCGAGGGAAAGGGTGCTCAGGAACCTGCTCCCCATAGGCAGGATTCTGTCTCTTCTCACCCCAACATACCCAACGCCCATCAGGTAGCGGGGCTTGTCCTTCGGCAGCCTGGAGGTGCTCAGTGCCACCATCTTCCAAAACTGGGCCTTGCTCTCACCACCACTCAGGCCTCCGATAGCGAAGCCTGGCACGTCCCTTTTGGTCATCTCTGAGGGTACAGATGGTCCTCAATTCACAATGATTTCTGAATTTTCCATTTTACAAAGATGCAAAAGCATACCCATACAATCATCATGTTTTCTACCTTCAGGGCTGTATTCAATAAATAACATGAGAACATCATATAAAGACAGGCTTTTTGTCAAATGATTTTGCCCAACCTTAGGCTAACACACGTCCTGAGCACATTTAAGGTTGCCTAAGCTGAGCTACAATGTTCACTAAAGCAAATGTATTAAGTTAATTTCAACTTACAATGTTTTCAAGTTATGCTGGTATAACCCCATCATTGAGCTGAAGAATAGGGTAAGGTAAAGGGTGACCAGACAAAAAGGAAATGTACCTCACATCCTTGTCCCCAGGAAAGACCTTGTCCAGATATCCATAAGACAGAGAGAAGGAGGGGGAGATATAACACACAGGAGGATGCTGACTCTGAGTGCCCTACATGCAAGACCCTCTACTTAATTCTCAGGAGAAGCCCATGACCCACACTTCCATGGCTGAAACCTTTGGAGTCAGATGAGTTTATGAGTTCAGAATTTTCTAGATTTGAGAATATGTAAACATTCCATATGCTGAGTAAGATCCTGGCATCCAACCCTGTAACATTTCTACAATTTAAAATACATGAATTCTGGAAGGCCACCAACTGAATGGCAAATTCCAAAGCATGCTAGATTTTAGAATTGGGTCTTGAACCTCTAAAATGACTAATGTTTAGTGACCTTTATCCCTCAGTTTCTAAAAAAGTTTGGTTCCACAGGGGTCCTGTGGATACCACAACCCAAGGATGCTAAAATCCCTCATATCAAATGGTATAGTACTTGCATAGAACCTATGTACATCCTCTTATAGACTGACTTTCTTTATTTTGGTACCAGGGATTTTACCAAGAGAGGCCTAACAGAGCCACACCCCCAGCCCTCTTTATTGTTTATTTTGAGACAAGGTCTCACTAAATTACTTAGGACCTCACTAAGTTGTTGAGGCTGGCTTCAAACTAGTGATCTCCTACCTCAGCCTCCCAAGCTGCTGGGATTATAAGCATGCGCCACCATGCCCAGCCCTCTCTAGATGACTTATAATGCCTAATATAATATAAATGCTATGTATTTGTTGTTATATGGTACTCTGTAGGAAATAATGAAAAGAAAAATATCTGTACATGTTTAGTACTGATAAAATTTGGGGCTGGGGGGTACTAGGAATTGAACCCAACAACATTTTACCATGGAGCTATGTACCAGTTTTGTTTTGCTTTGTTTTCAGAAAGAGTCTTGCTAAGTTGCTGAGGGTCTCACTAAATTACTGAGGCTTGTGAGCTTTCTGCCTCCACCACCTGAGTATTGTTGGGTTTATAGGCATGCACCACTGCATCTGACTCAGATGCAAATTTTTTTTTCCCACATATTTTCAGACCATGATTGGTAAAGTCTACAGTTATAGAACCCAAGGGAAAGGAGGTGCAAATATAGCATCAATCAACTCATCATTGACAGATAAGGAAACTAAGCCTTCACAGCTTAAACCATTAGCCCAGGCTGTATATGCCAAAAACTGGATATTACCTACAACCGGCCTCCAAGCCCATGTATGTCTCAGACCCCAACTACCCAGTTCAACCTAGTGAGGCCATACCATTGATGAAGCAGGTGCTATCTGGAGCCGGATTTCTTTTTTTTTTTTTTTTTTTGGTACTGGGGGTTGAACCCAGGGGCGCTTCACCACTGAGCCACATGCCCAGGGTATGAGACAGGGTCTTACTAAGTTACTGACCCATTTAAAGCCTCACTAAATTGCTGAGGCCAGGAATGGGAGAGGGGCCCAAAAGGCTGCATATGACTTCATGTTCTGCTGCAGGTGAGCCTTGGAACAACACTTTGAGCACTTTGGTGCTTGTCAAGCTACTGGTGGCCAAGAAACGAATTTGTTTAAGGGATATCAGCCCTGTTGTTTTTTTCTTTTTAACATTTTTTTTTAGTTGAAGATGGACACAATATCCTTGTTTCCTTTATTTATTTTTAACGTGGTACTGAGGATGTGAGATAAGTGCTCAACCACTAAGCTACAACCCCAGACCTCAGCCCTGTTTTTTGTTTTTCATTTTTTAACGAAAGAGAACAGAAAACACCAGAAAGCATCACGTGTATAAAAGTAATGCTTTCAGAAAGGCTTGGTTTCCATTTTCATAAACATCCATATACACTGAACCATGACATGAGCTGAATCTCTCACTGTGGGTCTCTGTTCAAAAGACTTACTGGACCAGGAATGGGGGAAGAGGAGGTCTGAGGACAACAATGACCTCTTCAGCACCTGCTAATAGGTAGGACAATTTGAACAGACTTTCCCATTCAATCCTCACCTCCACTCCAAGATAACTGGGATTCAGTTTCCATTTTACAGAGGAAGAGAGGCTCAGAGAGATGGAAATGCTGGCCCAGGAGCACACAGCCTCAAGGCAAAAGATCAAGGGATTCAGATGGACAGAAATGAATGCCCAGAAGTTTGCTCAGAACACCTCACTGACTTTGCTCACCTTCCCCTCTGCCCCTGATTTTAACTCCATGGTCACAATCTTCTCATTTTTTCCTTGAGCAAGTACTCCAGCCTCCCAATGGGTCTCCAACTCCAGCCTCCCAATGGGTCTCCAATTCCCAACCCCCCCCCATAAATTTTTCTATGATGTCCCTTGGCTCTGGCCACCCTCCTGCTCAGCACCTTCCCAGCACCTCAGTGTCCCCAGGTCTCCACCACTGAGTAATGCCCCAAGCCTAGCCCCTGACTCCTGACCCCGTGTATCCTACTATCTCAGGCAGCAGCAACACACTAGAGCAGTTAATGTTGTAAGTTCTGCCCAAAGCCTGGGTCCAAACCTCAGCTCTAAAATATCCAAGCTGTGAGGCCTCGAACAAGTGACATACACTTATAGGTCTCTATCTCAGTTTTCCTATCAGTATCCTTGGAAGCCTGGCAGGCTTTATCTTACAGTATTGTTATGAAGACTCAAAAGGTCAATCTCTGACCAGCATTTGGCATGGTGCCTGATGAATACCCAAACTCCACTAGTTACTGGAATTACTCCCATTCTCAAATACATTCTATTGCACACTGCCTCAGGGTCTTTGCCTTGTTCCTTCTACCCAGAACACCCTTTGACCCATTAACAATCACTGCAGGAGCAGCACTGTATGCCAGGCCTGTGTGAGGGCCTCAGCAAGGGACAAGCCCTGGTCCTGCCAGCATGTTGTTCTACCTTCAAGGCAAGTGGCCCGCAGATCCGCATCCAGCCCACCCTGGATGATGGCGAACAGGTTCTGCTTGTCCGGTTGCCGATGGGCTGCAATGCACCGGTCCAGCCAGCGGATTGACCTGTAAGAGGGCTCTGGTCACGAGCCCTAGGGGCCTGAAAAAGGGTAGCAAGGCAGGGCTGTAGGACCCAGGGCCCCTCCAAGACACACATGCACACACACCTGTACATGGCTTCTTCCACACGTGGACCTGTCACAGTGCTGCTGACCACGTCGTCTAGCTGCATGATGATGTCCGAGCCTGAGGTAAGACAGGGCAAGTCACTGGGCCTAATCTACACCTGAAGGAAAGACATGTCCTTACCTTTGAAGACAAGAAGAATCCAAAAGGTTTTTCCAAGTTCCCCTCAGCTTATTATAATTAGATGACACACCATTTGTCCTACCTCATACTGAGGTAGAATAAAAGGAATAAGAAATAGGTAGAGGGCTAGGGATATAACTCAGTTGGTAGAGTGCTTGTCTCGAATGCATAAGGCCCTGGGTTCAATCCCCCAGAACCAAAAAAAAAAAAAGAAAGAAAGAAAGAGATAGATAGAAAGGAAACCAGGCATAGTGGTACACAACTGTAGTCCTAGCAATCCAGGAGGCTAGGGCAAGAGGATTACCAAGTTCAAAGCCAGCCTGAGCAACTTAGTGAGACCTTAGCTCAAAATATAAAATAAAAAAGTCTGGGGATGGAGCTCAGTAGGAGAGTACTATTAGGTTCGATCCCCAATACAAAAATAAAAAGAAAGGAGGCATAAAGAGGGACAAGGAAATAAAATTTTAATTTATGGTGCATGACTATAGTACCAGTGACTCAGGAAACTGAGGCAGGAGGATTGAAAGTTTGAGACCAATATATTTCATAATGCACTAATAAAAAAAAATGTGGCAGGGCTGGGGATGTGGCTCAAGCGGTAGCGAGCTTGCCTGGCGTGCGTGCGGCCCGGGTTCGATCCTCAGCACCACATACCAACAAAGATGTTGTGTCTGCCGAGAACTAAAAAATAAATATTAAAAAATTCTCTCTCTCTCCTCTCTCACTCTCTCTTTAAAAAAAAAAAAAAAATGTGGCAGAGGGGAGAAAGTTAGTTTGAGGTCAATCTCAGCAACTTAGTGAAGCCATATGCAACTCAGTGAGATCCTGTCTCAAAATAAACAATACAAAGGGCTGGGCATGTAGCTCAGAGGTTAAGTGGCCTTGGGTTCAATCCTCAGTACCAAAAAAACAAAAACAAAAACAAAAAAAAACCTGCATACTTTTCTAGGCCTAACACTCCCTAAGCCAGCCAGCCTCTTTCTCAGGCCTATTACTCCCAAATTCCTGGGAATTTGTAAATCTGCCTGTGTACTATTAATTAACCTCCCCTCATAAATGAATTAAGTAAAGAGAGAAATGATTTTTGAGAATCCTACAATTTAAGAGACTTCTCAGTGCTATGTACATAGCCTGAGGATTCTGAGATTATCCAGGCCACAATGAGTCATCTTGAGATCACCAGATTGATATTGTTCCTACAAACTTTCCTCTACCCACCCCTCACCCACTTTACTTTAAAAGCTTTCAAGATGGCCCACATTCTATTTTGAACGTGTATTCCTTGCTTTATCCCAAAAGGCCTCTCTCTTGAGACTACTGGCATTTTACCTTGAATGTGTACCTACTTTCCTAAATCAACCTCTATGTCTCTGGTGCAGGGTGAAATTCTTTTCCATCAGTTAAGCCAAGAACCCCACTGTTCTAAGTCCAATTATCCTTTCTCTCAGGGGATCCTTGGATCTTCTTTAGAGACACCTCTTCTCCAGTGAAAACACTGCTTCATAACTATCACTTCATCATCAAACCCAGCATAAAATACACATGATTTAGGGTTGGGAGTGTAGCTCTGTGGTACAGCACATGCCTGGCATGCCCAAAGCTCTGAATTCCACCCCCAACACCATAAAAAATACAAAGAGAGAAAAAAAGAAAGATTGACAAATACGAATTGTCCTTAAGAAAGAACTGAGGATAGAGCTGGGATTGTGGCTCAGTACCACATATGTAAGGCACTGGGTTCAATCCTCAGCACCACATAAAAAAAGTAAATAAACAAAATAAAAGTATGAAAAAAAAAAAAGAATTGAGGATATTGATGCAATCAAGGGGCCAGAAGCCTCTGGTATCTCCTCTTTTCGTCACCAGGATTTCAAAAGATATTTGTCTAGATAATTGGTTATTGAGAAATAATAGCAATGATGATAATAAAAATTATTACATATCAGGCACTGTTCTAAGAGATTTACCGACATTACTTCATTTATTCTTGTCAATGATCCTACCAAAACCGCGCTACCATATTTGACTTGCAATAAGTGAAGCTCAGGGAGGGGGAGTGATTTCCCCCAAAACCACACAATGCCTAAGGGGCATGACCCTCCGGACTTCCATCCCCTACAGACTTAAAGGGGCAGTTCTAGAGGTTCCACTCACCCAGTGCGTTCTGAATTTCCACGGACTTCTCCGGGCTCAAAAGGGTCTCATCACCATCATAGGGGGAGCGAAAGCGGACGCCCTCCTCTGTCACCTCAGACAGGGACACTAGGGACACCATCTGGAAGCCACCACTGTCCTGGAGGGCACCCCACCCAGAGCTGTCATGGTGTGGAGACGGCGGCCTCCTCACCACAGAGAAGCTAAGACATTTAGTGGGCTCCCAACCCCAACCCCACTCCACTCACTGTCAGCAGATTGTGGGGCCAATTCATGAAGCCGTGGAGACCTTCGGCTTTCTTGATCAGCTCAGGGCCCTGCAGTGAGAGAAGAAAGTACCAGGTTACTGGTGAGCACAATTCTAGGGGCCCGTAATGGGGACAGAGCTGCCCGCTTCAATCCCCGCAGCTCTCCCAAGCCCAGCACAAGGCCTGGGCGACCCAGGGTACTCAATACACATTTATCGATTGACTTTTGGAGCCATGCCCAGACCTTGAGGCCTCACCACCACCCCAACGCTCCCCACAGCCCTCCCAGAGCACAGTTCACCAACCGGTCTCAAACCCAGATGATAGGTGTTGCCCAAGCAGATGCGGCAGCCCAGGGCGTCCAGCTGCTCGGCTGTGATACCCTTCATGGTGGCCTGAGTGCCCACTGGCATGAACACTGGAGTGGCCACCGGTCCGTGCGGCAGCCGCAGTTCGCCCGCCCGAGCCCTGGAGCGACTGCATTCGGCCACCAGACGCATGATTCGCGGAGTCGCCTCCAGGGAAACCGGGGTAGCTGCTCCCGCCATCTTGACTACCGGAACCACGTGGGACGTGGAACCTGGTGGGCGGCGCCATATTTGCTACGATCACGTGACGCTCAGAGCTGGAGAATCCCCGAGAGTGTCTGGGAACCATGGCAACCGAAGTCTGAGCGCGTCTTAGCAGGATTCCTGAACGCTCCCTCCCGGAGCGCTCTAATGCAAAGAATTAAATTTTTCTAGGTTCAAATTCCATTCGGGAGACTTTTCTCTCTACAATCAAAGCCTCTCAGTGCCGTAATATTGTCCTGCACGAAATGTAGCCAATTCGGCTTAAGGGCCTTGTACAGATTGAGGATCGGGTCGTCTGGTGCACACCTCTAGTCCCAGCAACGCTGGGGGGTGAGGCAGGAGGGTTATGAGTTCGAGCCCAGGATAAACAGTTCAGCGAGACTCTCAGCAATTTGGTGAAACCCTCAGCCACTTAGCAAGACCCTATGCTAAAATAGATAAATACTTACATACATACATAGGATGGAGTTGTTGCTCAGTGATAAAGCACCCCTGGGTTCAATACCAGCCTGCCTCCCCCCCCCCCAAAAAAAAAAAAAAGCCAACGTGTGTGTGTGTGTGTCTGTGTGTGTGTCTGTGTAAAATTTTTAAATGCTGGAGATGTAGTTCAGTGGTAAAGTGCCCTTTGCTTCAATATGGGGGGGGGGCAGGGGGAGGAATACAGACACACACGTACACACACACATATATAATGAGAAGGACAGTTATACTATAACTCTTTACCCAATGCCTGGCTCCGATACTTTTCATCTCCTCACTCCTTTGACTCAATAACTTAGATCCAGGCCTAGCACACAATAAGTGCTCAGTAAACATTAGTTCCTTCAATAAAGGAAGAATCCTAGTTTTTTGTTTTGTTTTGTTTTTGGTGTTGTTGTTGTTTGCTTTTTTGGCGGAGGAGGGGTTTACTGGGGATTGAACCCAGGGGCTCTTAACCAGTGAGCTACAAGCTCCTCCGCTTTTTATATTTTATTTAGAACAGGGTGTCACTGAGTTGCTTAGGGCCTTGCTAAATTGCTCAGGCCGGATTTTAATTCGCTATTCTCCTACGTCAGCCTCTCGAGCCGCTGGAATTATAGGCGTGCGTCACTGAAGAATCCTAGATTTAAGACAGGGGAGTCTGCTGAGGCCACTAACCTGTCCACATATGGGTTTGTTCAATTAGTGCATACAAGTGTATACATGTACGTACACAAACACACAGGCTTATATGTATATCCCCACTGTGCCTTTCTTCATGCAGCTCAGGAGTGAGGGGGGGCTGAGTCACAGATTTACTGTATGCTGGTTGTTTTCCATTAATAATAATAGCATAATATTACAGAATATCTAATAATCCTTACTGTTAGAAATGCAGCTGTGGCCAGCTGTGGCCAGCAGGGGGCGCCATTGATCTAAAACACTTTGACTGATACGGCAAATATCCTAAACTGGGCTGCTTTGGGCAAGATTGCTCTGTGGAAGCCTCAGGCCTGTTACATTGTAATAAAGGCTAGTGATGTTAGGTTCTGAAGGCAGTGGAGAGATTTCATTGAGATCACACCTGAAAAATGCCCATCAAGGTGGTTCAGTTCATGACCTTTGCACTTGCTGTTGGCTTTGACAATTCATCCCCTCTGAATTACCCAAAAACCTATGGGCTTATATTTTTCACTGTGTTTGCTCTTCCTAGGAAAATTCTAAAACCACTACACAATCTCAAGACCACTCTACCCTAGCCGGGAATAGAGGTGCATGCCTATAATCCCAATGACTCAGGAGCCTGAGGCAGGAAGATCACAAATTTAAGCCTAGCTTGGACAACTTAATGAAGTCCTATATAAAAATAAAATAAAATAAAGCAGGAGTGGCTGAGGATGTGGCTCAGTGGTAGAGTCCTTGCCTAACATGCATAAGGCCCAGGATTCAGTTCCGACAAGCACCACAAAAAGGGGAGGACTGAGGAGGTAGCTCATGGTAAAGTGTCCCTGGGTTCAATTTCCCGCACCAAAAAGTAGTAAATAAATAAATAAACACTCCATCCTCCATCACTATATATCACTTATAACTGATATGCCTTGTGAGATTTCTCTACACATTGGCAATGCCCAAATTAATTAATTTATTTTGGCAGTACTGGTGATAGAATCAGGGATGCTCTACTATAAAGCTACATCACTAATCTTTTATTTTTTTATTTTGTTTTGTTTTTAGTTGTAGATGGGCACAATACATTTTTTTAATTTATTTTTTATTTTTTTTTTTTTATAAAGAGAGAGAGAGAGAGGGGGACAGAGAGAGAGAGAGAGAGAATTTTAACATTTTATTTTTTCTTAGTTCTCGGCGGACACAACATCTTTGTTGGTATGTGGTGCTGCTGAGGATCGAACCCGGGCCGCACGCATGCTAGGCGAGCGCGCTACCGCTTGAGCCACATCCTCAGCCCCCTTTTTTAATTTATTTTGATGATGCTGGGGATTGGACCCAGGACCTTGTGTCTGCAAAGCAAGCACTCTACCAACTGAGCTACATCCTCAGCCCTTGTTTTATTTTTATTTTTTGGAGGTACTAGGGATTGAACTCAAGGGCACTCAACCACTGAGCTACAACCCCAGACCCTTTTTTTTTTTTCTCTCACACACACAGACCTATACATAAACATGTGTGGATACATAGCCATTCTCCATGGTGCTCCAATGTGAGGGATGTTGAGTCTTGGACATAGTGTGTGATGGTTGTGCTCCATTAATAATAATGTTATTATTAACATATAATATCACATAATATATAATAAACATTATTGTTTGACATGTAGGTTTTGCTAAGTGGCTCAGGCTGGGCAATCCTCCTACCAGAGCCTCTGGAGTTGCTGGGATTGTATGTATATGCTTCCACACTCAGCTCTCAATTCATGTTTTCCTTCTAGTACCGTGAAACTTTTGCACTCTGTGATTTTTTTTACTTTTTTACTTTTTGTATTTTTGTTCATGCTCTATTAATTTAAGTGGTATATAACAAATTATATTAGCCCATAGCTTTACCATGATCCCAAACAACATAAGTCTCCTAAACAATTTAACTCAGAACTCAGACTTGTTCATCCTGTGTTGATTATTTTTTTGGGGGGGTGGTACTGGTGACTGAACTCAGGGGCACTTGGCCACTGAGCCACATCCCCAGACCTATTTTTTATTTTATTTAGAGACAGGGTCTCACTGAGTTGCTTAGCATCTCACCATGGCTGAGACTGGCATTGAACTCTCTCTCAATTCTCCTGCCTCAGCCTCTGGAGCCACTGGGATTACTGGCATGTGCCACTGTGCCCAGCCTGATTAACTATTTTTTAAAAATTTTTATTAGTTATTGATGGACCTTTATTTATTTGTTTATATGTGGTGCTGAGAACCAAACCCAGTGCCCCACACATGCCAAGGCAAGCACTCTACCACTGAGCCACAACCCCAGCCCCCTGATTAACTTTTTTTTTTTCTTTTGCAGTGCTGGGGATTGGACCCAGAGCCTAGTGCATGCTAAACACACATCACTGAGCCGAAAATCCAGCCCCTAAATGGTTGTTCTTTAATAATTTCACTAGTTTTTTGGAGCTTGAGTCCCTGAAGCACCTTGTACTATCAAACAAAAATTAATCCTTTTAGGGCTGGGGTTGTGGCTTAGCTCACCCAATGTGTACGAGGCCCTAGGTTCGATCCTCAGCACCACATAAAAGTAAATAAATAAAACAAAGGTATTGTGTCCAACTATAACAAAAAACTAAATATTAAAATAATAATAATAATAATAATGGAAAGATAAGGAGGAAATAACATTAGAGTTGGACCTAATCCAATATGAAATATCCATAAATTCGGAAACAGACTATAAACTACATTCCTAAATCTCAACCTCTGTTTGGGCGGGGTCACACTAGTAATCTCCTGAGGCAGGAGGACCCACCGTGAGTTCAAATCCAGCCTCAGCAACTGTGAGGACTAGGCAACTCAGTGAGAACCCGTCTCTAAATAAAATACAAAATAGGGCTGGGGATGTTGCTCAGTGATCAAATGCCCCTGAGTACACGCTCCTCCCCCCAAAAAGGACTCAACCTCCCAAGTAGGTGGAATTATAGACTTATGCCACTGCACCCTGCTTAAGAGGTCTATTTTAAGTCAAGTATCCAGAGCGTGGTTAATTGAGTAGTTTTAGATTTGAATTAATGCCTGAAAGGAAGGGGCAGGAGTCATTCCAAGTCCTAAGAAAGCTTTGCAGGCAGCGGAGGCAGAGTCAATCCCAGAGATAAGAACGTGCCAATATTGTTTGAAGTGCGGGGAGGAGGTCAGTGTGGCTGGAAAGATTGAAGGAGAAGGCAGAGACGTGACCACTGGTGGTTATGAAGGGCCTAAGGATCTGCAGCTAGGACTTGAGTTTACGGGAGGGTGGAACATTCTTAGTGGATAAAGGAGCGTAATGAGCTTTATCACCAAGAGGTAAAGCAAAGGGTACGAAGGAAGGGCAACTGGAGGCTCGGTGACATCCTGCCTTAAGGTATTGGCGCAGCTCAGCTGGAAGGGATTGGGGGCACCCTGAGTACTCCCTTGAGGCGCTAAGATCGCGCCTTCAGCACAACGGACAGCGCCGCGGCCTTGGCCTGGAGAACTAGAAAGCGGTCTTCCTGGGGGCGGAGCCTATGAAACCGTCCTACAGGAGCCAGCGAGCTCCCAGAACAGGGCACACCTATGGAGCAGGTTCTGCAAGTGTCCTATTAGGAATCGCGTACTCTATAGCACAGAGCACTCTTTGTGGCCGATTGGACGTGGCGCTCTACGTCGCGAGACCCGTGGAAGTGTTATATTAGAAAAGGGTTTAACCACTATGCCCACCGTACCGGGGGCGGAGTTTTCAACTTATATTAAAATAATTTGGTGGGTGTTCTGTGAAAAAGCTGAATTCATTGAGCTGACTACCCTGGGGTTGCTGTGTGCGATATTCGGGGCGGAGCTTGTTGATTGGGTAAGGAAGGGGCAGTAAGTGTGGGGAGACTTCGGGGCACATCAGAAGTTCAGAGGGGTGGTGTTCTCAGAAGCTGGACCTGAAGAGAGTTTTGCGCACTTGGCCAAGAAGCCTGTGCATAACCACTAGGTGCGGTGAGAAAATATTTGGGACTCTCAGCCCAACTCTGCCCGTTTGGGGACGCTGCGGCTGTGGATGGAAAGCTCCCAATCTGGGGACTAGGTGATTGGTGCTGAGATCTGGAACTGAGATAGGCAAGAGCTGTATTTCTGTGCAGAGGGGAGAATGGGAGATTTCTGGCAGAGAACTGGTTGTTTGAACACATCTAACTTTGAAATAGGGGTCCTTGAAACCCTGGACTTGGCCTGGAGGGGTGACTGGGGAACATGGAGGGCACACATTTACTCTGGCTTATCTAAATGGGATTAGAGGTATAAGTCTACAAAGTCCAGGTGTCACACAGGTTCAACTCTTGGAAGACACTGGGAAGATATTTGGGATTCAGACCATGGTGGCCACTGCTGACAATCCTCCTTGTCTCTCAGGAAAGAGAGAAGGATCCTGACATCTGGGTACCTCTGGGACATGCAGTTTTTAAACCTTTGCATCTCAAAAACAATTCCCTCACCAAGTGCAGGGAACCTTTTGGTTTAGTCCTCAGCACTGACACCTGCTCCCCTCCCTGCCCCCACCCCAAAAGCAAAACAAACCTCAGTTCAAGTATTCTAGAACCCAAACTTCTGCTGGCCTTGCGACCTCCTTCCTCACTTCACCTACTGAACAACAGAATGATAAGAGGTTTTCTGGGCTAGGTTATGACTCAGTGGTAGAGTGCTCACCTCCATATGAAAGGGACTGGGTTCAATCCTCCACCACATCAAAGTAAAATAAAGGTATTGTGTCCATCTACAACTAAAATATATACATAGTTTTTCTTTTCAGTACTGGGGATTGAACCCAGGTCTACCCTTTTATGAAGACAGTCTGACAATGTTGCCCAGGATAACCTTGAACTTGTCATTCTCGCATCTCCTAAGTAGCTGATTACAGGTATGTGTGCCACCAAACCCAGCCCAAAGGATTATTCTGAAGCAAAGCTGGACTAGCTTTTTCCAGGTTCAGAATCCTTGTGTGCTTCAGGGATTTTATAAGGGTTGGTTGGAACCCTCTGCTTATGCACTCCCCTCTCCACTAACCTCCAGCCACACTTCTCACCTCCCCTTCCTCTTGCATTTTAAAATCCTTCACCTGCTGAACTGCAGCTCTTTCAAGTTCATTCCCACCTGCCAAATGAATTTTTGTGCATGCTGCTCCCTCTTCACCAGAGGGAAGACTGGACATTCCTAGACATTTCCTGACCAGCAGGGACAGGGCCTTCTTGGGGCCTCCAAGCTCCATTAGGCAAGGACCAGGCTCACCATTTTATTCCTAGCTCCCAGCACAGGACATAACATGTAAGTGCCACCCAATAGACACATGATAAGTGAATGAAGCAATAAACACATGAAGTCTCTCTTTATTCTGGGATGGATTAGTGAGAATCTGAGCCTCCGGTAAGGTTGTTGCCCAAATTTTTTTCCAGAAGTCTCAGGCATGTAAAGTGCATGGCCAGTGTGGAGCTAACACCAAGACTGAAATGCAGACAAACACCCCAGCTGCAGTGACCAGGTACACAGCCTTATGAATTGCACAAGAATGGTCAACATTCAAGAAGTATACCTTCCTGCCAGAGTAGAGGGAGATCAGGCAGCCAAGTGGTAGCCCCCAAATAGAAAAAAACAGTCCTGGTGGCACTGCTTAACCAGGAAGTGGAAATGCTGGGTCCTTCATTGAGGCTGATATCCCCCTTCATTTCTAATCATCAATTTCCAATACTTTTCCAGAACCCAAGGACCAGTCCAAATTCCCTAAGGCCCTGCCATTCCCCAAAATGTCATTTCAGTCAGCCACTCCTGTCTTCATATGATCCTTTTCCTTTCCCCCAGCAGCATCTAGAGCTGAGCCGACTGGGGTAGTGTGCACCAGGTGCCCCATCCCTGACACCAGCTCACACCAAGTACCCCATCCTGATCAAATCCACGAAGAGCAGTAGGAAACCTACTTGATCTCTTGGTGATCTCTGCTGGTGATTCAAAATGTTGTACACCAATCACCTGAACCATGTTGCACAAGAAGTCTCTCCATCTTACGCTAATTCTTGCCTATATTATGCTGGACCCAAGAAGAACTTCCCCAGATCAGCTTCCTGGAATTGCAGGATCACCAGCTGGATGGCTCACTCAGCTCCAGATAGGGGACACCAGCACCAGGACTTCTCTGGGCTCAACTTAACAGCTTTGTCTTCCTGAAGCCAGTTTCTAGTTTGACAGATCCTGAGGGCTGGGATACTGCCACTGGTCAAATGTGTCACCCTCATCATCAGTGAGATTCCCCCAATGGAATCAGGATACCAAGGGCACTGTGCTCTCCGATTGTCTTTGGGATAGGTTTGCTGCAATTTCTGGGGTGTGGGTGGGTATGATTCCTTCCCTCTTGATAGGTCTGTATTCAGAAACTTGAACATGGTGGTTGTTGCTGACTGAGAATCAACTGGAAAAGAAAACCCTTGTGTTGAGGATATAGGTGCTTGACTGGTTTAGTGGGGCCTGGCAGGTAAGGCCAGGATAAGTCCCTCCCCGTGGGTTTCTGAGCAATGCAGACAACCTCCACTCCAAGTTCTCTGCTCAAAGCGCCGATGAGTGTCTTCTTGTCCCAGCCCTGGATGGGACTGGGAGAGGCAGATCATGGACACAGCATTGTGTCTCTCCACTACTGTGTGCGTTGGTGGGATCCTGGGACATTTAAGGGTAACTTGAAAGCTCCAATTGTGGGTCACCTCTTGGCTTCACTTTGTGTAGTCACCTCCTCCTTCCTGCCTCTTCCTGGGCTGGATTCACACTGTATATGGGGCATCCTCTACACTAGCATAAAGCAGAATTGTACCAATATTTTCTCGTTTGATACAGGATACCTTTCTTTCCAGAAAGCCAACCTTCACCCCTTCAAAGTATAGCTGATTTGCTGTGTCAGCTGAGGGATTCCCAGTGGCCAGTTACTCACACATGGGAGGCCAAGGGGCACACCTGAAGCTCAGCCGGTCAACAGCACCAGGTCTCAGAAGCTGGAGAGGTGGCTCCCAGATAACGAGGAAGCTGGAAGGCTGAGGAACACTGTTGAGAGGTGCATAGGCTCTTCCCAAACACACTGAATTGGAGCCTGGGTAAATTCAACTGGAGTGCAGCCCTATCGCCCCCACCACCCCCACTCCCATGGGCAGGGCAACCTTAGGATGGGTTTCTCCACTTCCAGTACTGACACTTTTGAAATACAGTTCTTTGCAGTGGGGCACTCACTATTCCGTGTGGTACAGGCTGTTCACAAGCATCCTTGGCATCTACCCACGAGATGCCAGGAGCATCTTTCCAGGTATGATAAGTGTCCCTCAAACGTTGCACAATCTCCCTTGAGAGTGACAATAACTGTTCCAGGGAAGTCTGCTAGAGTAAATCTGGACAATTAAAAAAAGCAAACTCTACATATGAATCTCCCTGTGGCAGAGCACCTTAGGGCAAGGGCACAGCAGACACCAGATTTTCCCAGGGCACAGCTCACCTGTAGCTGGGTTGCTTTACATTAGACAGGTCACAGCTGCCCTCTTTCAATTGGGGTACATGTACATGTGAACTCTACAGGGACATTTTATTCCATAATGATGTAAAATTGCACTTATAACCACCGGAATTTATGGAGTAGCAAAGAATATGCTTCCATTTTTTGATCCAACCTTGAGGACCACTGCACACCACCAGGATTTAGAGCTGTGGAGCCCACTGGGTTGACAAGATTTCAGGTAAACAGGTTGGTGGCCCTTGCCAAGCACTGAGTAATGTCTGGAGGCCTGGAGTTGGACCCTCTATGCTGACCAGGCACTGTCCTGCCATCCCCAGCCTGCTTCCCAATAGTGGGAACAGAGTGGAGGAACCTGCCCATTGCCCTGCTGGAGGGTCAGACACCCAGGCCTGAGACAGGCACAGTTTTCTTTTTCTTTATTGTCTACAGTCAGCTGAATTCAGATGTAGTGCCTGAATGAGCCAGACATACAAAAACCCCACTCTTTCCCATTGTTTTTTAAAATAAAATCTTCACTTATAAAACTGAAACACTAAAGCATTAAAATACAGAAAGCTCATTTAACTCACTTCACAAAAGCATTAACAGATGATGTATCCCTTCTGTAACTATTTAAAGACAAACTGAGTCAACACTAACACCAAGTGTAAATAGACAGAGGGATACTGAACGGCAAGAACGCAAAACTCTACCCAGACAAGGTTGTAATGGCAACTAACAAACCATTGAAGACACGGAGTCCCAAACACGGCTAAATATGGGTCACAGCACAGGTCCCAGGAGGAACAGCTGCACCTCACAACACAGCAACGTGGACGGGTGGGGGCGCCTGGAGGACCGGCTGACATGGTAACTGTGATACGTAAAACTGAATCTTCCAACGGCGTAAATGCAGAAGGTACAAATGGGCAGCCCCAGGGCCTTTATCTGTACTGGTAGTTCATGCTGTGGTCTGCGTTTCTGCCATAGCCACCCTGTGAGGACTGGTAGGAGCCGGGAGGGCCGCTGTAGTTCTGGCCAGACCCTGGGGAATTGTAGTTCGACTGTGACGAGTAGCCTCCTACAAGAGAGAGGGTAGATTAGAGGTGGTGACAAGGATCTGCCTGCCCACCAGGCCTAAGGACCTCAGATGCACCTGAGTTGTGTCCCCAGGTGGGAAGCCCCACAGGCTCCTCCTTTATTCTAAGTGCCTTTCACTTCTAATTGGGACCCAGCACACCGAGAGGGGGACCACTGTGATCCTGGCTTCTACAAAGGGTGATGGCAAATGATGATTTTCTTGGTTAAAGAACAGGGGGGCTGCCTAAGCTCACCACCCCGAACCAAAGGTAGCATCCAAGACCATGAGTCAATGTTGTCAACATCTCTTTAAGCATGTACCAATGCTGAAGAGTAAGGCAATTTCTGGTCTCCAGCTTCAGAAAAGGCCAAGCAGCTGGTACGGCCAGAGCCCATCTTTTATAGGGCCCCAAATGCCCCACAAGGAAGCAACAGCACAGCTGCCACCACTGTCCTGCCCATGCAGTGCTGTTCCTGCCAGGCCCAGGGCCACCCTGCTGTGCCACCTGCTGCCCAGGCCCACCTTGTTTGCTTTGATATGAGCCGCCGCCCCCAGAGCCTCCACCGTAGCCCCCGTGTGACCCTGGGTTGTAGGACGACCCGCCTGAGCCATAGCTGTTCCCGCCGCTTCGGCCTCCGCTACCACTGTAGTCTAGGGGAGAGAAGACAGTGTAATTAGGGGATTTGAGGGGATCTGGCTGGCATGGTCCAGGACTCTAGCGAGGCTCCCCTAGACAGAGCCTTGCCCCTGCCTTTAGCAGATGTTTGTCTGCTTAAATTTGGCAAGAGGTAACAAGGTCAGGCTAGGGTTGTGGCTCAGTGGTAAAGCGCTTGCCTCGCATGTGTGAGGCACTGGATTCTATTCTCAGCACCGCATATAAATAAATAAAAAAAAAGCTCTGAAACCTGTTCTCTCCAGCCTTTCCACCTGTCCCTGCAACCCAAGCTTTCAGATGTAAATTCAGTGACATGATGCTCCCTCCGGCCTACATGTACACAGCACAGCTCCCTCCAAGTCTCCAGTCTTGCTAGTGACCACTATTCTATATCAAGGATAAGTGCACACCTACTCTGCCAACTGGGTCAACAATACAGCCAGTGCCTGCTGGGTCTGTGCATGAGGTAAAAGGATATTAATAACACTTCAAGAACTATCCCAGGAGACAGCCTCTCAGCCTCTACCCTCATGCCTAGTCACCCTGAGGAGAGAGGCCTCAGCTATACCTGCCCATGGGGAAAAGCAGAGGAAAGAGCAGAGACCTGGGCCTTAAGATCCTTCCTAACACCTGCCTGCAGCCAACACCACCTGTTTTCCTCCTAGTTCCTTGGGCAGAGGTCTGGGCACTGCTGGGCTTCTGCAACTCCACAGGACTCATTGCCAGGTTGACCCAGGGATGCTGGAAGCCAACTCACTGAATTTGCTCTCGTAGTTGTAGTCTGACCCGCCCCCGCCTCCGGGAGAGTTGTAGGAGTTGGAGTAGGAGGAGTAGTTGCCTTGTCCATGGTTATAGCCTTTCTGTTTGCCCTGAGGGGGCCCGTAGTTGCTGTACTGGCTCTGGTTGTAGGACTGCTGCTGGCCTTGGTGGGACTGGTAGCCCGAGCTGTAGGAGGGCTTCTGCTGGCCCCCATGTGGCGGTTTCTTCCCAGCATGTTTTGGGGGTACTGGTGAGTTGTAGTTGTCCCCTTGGTAATAGGAGCCGTAGCCGGAGGAGCCACCACCGCCCCCGCCGCCGCCACCACCAGCATTCCCAGAATGCCCTCCGTTGCTGTAGAACTGACCTAAACAGGGAGGCAGCGGGTCAGGTGGAGGAAAAGGAAAGGCAAGGGGGCAGGAAGGAAAAGGGAGGTGGCAGCCGTGGGCCCTGAAGGCTGACCCATAAACTGGCTGCCCAGAGGCAGCAAGGAGGAAGGAGAGCCCTGGCTCTGCTGTAAGGTGCCTGGCTCGGCTGGCCCAGCCTTCAGCTCCACTCACCCATCAGCTGACGACAACAAAGGATCTTTGCCAAGCAGCGGCACGACAGCAGCTTTTGCAGCAGATGTCAACATTACAATGAGATGGGCTCCCAGCGCAGATGACATTCAGATCTAGCTGACGGGTACCCAGATGTCCCCCAACGGTGACAGGAAAAGCAAAGCCCCAGAGAAGCAGCAAGCCACCCCTACTACCTCCTCCCCTCTGTGCTGGAAACAAATTCAGCAGGCAGAGACTGGAGACCCCAGGAGTACCCTGTAATAAGGCCCCTAAAACCACCCTCACTCTTGGAAGACCAATTAGTATGAAGCTGGATCTTAGAAAAACAAATTGAGACTCAAATGATGTGGGCCTCTCCCTGGTTACTACTTACAGAAAAACATGACTACAAGCAGTATAGATTTCCGACCTATTGGGGAGACCAGCTCAGGCTAAGGCTGGGAACAGGATGTCAGGCAGAGCCTTAAGCTAAATAAAGCCTCAGTGGCCTCCCCAAGGCCCCTTCCTCATTCCCAGTACAGCTGCTGGGGCACAGGCAGGACAGAGTAGCAGCCCTCACAAACTTGCACTGTGGCTGCCACATGTTCAGTCCTGAGGCAGGATGTTACAGTGAGGACCTGCCTTCTGGTAACTAGGCTTTCAACACACTGCTGTAGCTAAAATTGGGGTGGAATAGGGGATAGGCTAAGGAACACTTCATCCCCAGTTTTACAAGGGTCTCTAATTAATCAGGGGGTTCAGGCTTGGCTGTGGGAAGTCCCAGAATGAACTGGATGTAAGGCCTGGGAGGCCAGGCTGTGTGGGCAGCTCTCCAGCCCAGTTAGACGTTCACCAGCACCTCAACAGGGGCTGCGGTGTTCCTGGGTCCCTGCAGAAGGGAGGACTAAACATGAAGGCACCTCTGCCCACAGACATCAAAGGCAGCTTCCCTGTTAGATCCAAGGATGGATGGGAATTGGGAGAGGAGGCTCCCACACAGCCTGTCCTTTCTTCCCGTATCAAGCATGAGGGTTCCATGCCTTCTGGATGGGGACACTGGAGTTCTCACATGCCTTCCATCCTCTGCAGATGTGTAGCCCATGTTGATGTGCCATGGGCTACTGGCACAAGCATATGGAAATAGAACTGGTCTCCAAACTTGAGTTTGTTTCTTCAGGAAGGCCTCTTTCCCCTCCCACCATTCACAAAGCCAACACTGAGGGGGAGGATGTATACCACAAAGCAAGAAAGCAAACATGTGGAGGCTCAGTGAGGAGACTTGGAGGATAAGAGCTTCAGTATACTCCCTGAGAGCACTGTCCCCACCACCCCAAATCCCAGTTTCCCCAGTGTCCTGCACTGAGCACCCCACCTTGCCCCGCCTAAAGCTGGGAATGAATGAAGACGCAAGTATCGAGGACTCGTTACTTTAACATGTATTGATTAAAAAAAAAATAATAAAGGGAAGGGGAAGTTTTCAACGTCATTCAAGATAACTATTTCCTGGTATAAAAAGACATTATTCTCAAACAATAACTTTCTAAAAAAAAATAATAATACATCATGCAATCAAAGTTTTTAAAAAGTTTCACTGAATGTTTCAAACCTTGGGGAACAAATCACACATTAACCGTTTTGACCGTTTTTGCCTGAATAAACGCAAAATCTTGCAAGTCAGCACAGAGGCAGGCTTTCCTGCAAAAAGAACTGCTGAGCACAGCCAAAACCCCAGTTTTCAAGGATGGCTCCCACCAGAAGAGCCAAAAAGACCACTGGGGTCCCAGTGAAGAGCCATAAGACCATGTGCCTTTGCACACACAGAAAAATATCCAGGCCTCTGGAGTGTGCAGCTGTGTAATCAGCAGAAATCTGGGAATGTACTAGGCTTTTTTTTTCTTTCCTTTTTTTGCAGTGTTGGGAGACTGAACCCAGGGCCTCACATTGTGAGCAAGCGCTCTACCACTGAATCCCAGGCCATGTATTTTTATTTTAATGGTATTGGGAAATGAACCCAGGGGCAATTTACCACTGAGCCACATCCCCAACCTTTTTATTATTATTATATTTTTTCTAAGACAGGGTCTTGGTAAGTTGCCCAAGGCTGGCCTCAATCTTGTGATCCTCCAGAGTAGCTGAGACTATAAATGTGTGCCACCATGCTCAGCTCTACTAGACGATTTTTCAAGCCCCATCCAAAAAAAAAAAAAAATCCAGAATCCCATGCATTTGCAACTGTGACCAAGACTTGCAAAATTTCATGTTTTCTACCCCTTAAAGCCTGTCTGTTTCTTGCACAGGAAATGGAAGCACAGTTTTGATACCTTTGAGAGTTCACTCTCTAGCTAAACCAGCCACAAAATACCGCACCCCAAACAAGAAACCACCAGAGCATTTACAAAGGCGGGAGGAGGTAACTTAGCACAGTGTACAATTCCCCATGTTCCCAACATTTTACATGCTTGTTTAAAAAAAAAAAAAAAAAAAACTCAGTTGCTCTGGATTCAGATGTGGTGAAATCATTTTCATCACTGTCAAAGGCATCAACCAGATGTGGGAATTTGTTAAAAGGTTAAAAATTCATACAAAACCTGCTGTAAATTAAGACAAAGGTAGATTAAAATGCATCATTATCTGTCTCTTTAAATAAAGTAATGCTTTCCATAAAAAGCAAAGGTGGGCTTTTGCCTTGATGCTGAACAACGCTGGCTCTAGAATTCTGTGCAAGTCTGCACAAAAATACATTCTCTGAGAAAATTGTTTTCCACTTATTGTGAACTTCAATATGACCAAGTTCAAAGGCAAATCACGATAAAAACTGCCATTGTCTTAAATTCTGCAGGCTAAGAGTTTCAGACAAGCTGCGGTGGAAAGCCACGGTTGAGAAACCCAGTGAAGCACAGGGACACAGCACGGACACTTTGGGTTTTGGAGTTGGAGGAAATTGGAGTAAAAAGTTGATTTTGTGTGCAATACTTTTAGACGCTCTAGGAAGACCCAAAATCATGATAGCCGTAGCAGTCTGTGAAAAAGTCACCTACAAAAGGGGGAGACAGAGCAGAGAGAAGAAATTAGAATTCTTTTGAAAAATGGCACAGAGCGCCACATTTGAAATTCATGTTTTAGATTTCTCTGCTCCTGTGACCCCCAATGAAGGCTCCTTCTCAAGACAAGAGCGGTGCACTGGCAGGAAAGGTGCGTTTGCAAGATGGGTGCTTCGCATGGCTTAAAGCAGAGAAATTTAAAATTCTGACTTCTAAGGAGCTTGGAAGTCACACAAGTTGGTGTGTTAGCACTTAAGAGTCAAGGACACACTTGTGGGGTCAGGGAAGACCTGAGGGCTGTCTGACCTAATACCCGCAAAAAGGTGCGGGTCGCTCTTTAGCCTCACGAAGGCTGTGGCTAGGCCGCCCTGCACTAACTCAGGCCCACGACTAAGCTGCTGCTTCCTCCCACGTGGACACAGAGAGAAGCACACTTACTGTAGCCTGCTGTCGCCGAGTTTCCTCCGTACCCATAGCTTCCGTACCCAGCACCTAGAAGAGAACAGACAGGGTTATATGCGTCTGACCTGCCCTTGCCCTCTTCAGTTCCACATTTCAGCCCCACCCAAGTCCCTACACCCCAAAATAAACATGGACACATCCAGAAAATATAAACTGGGTAGATGGGGACAGCACAGGACAAGGGCCCTCACCAGCATTCATGTAGCCTCCATGATTGGTGCCACCAAATCCTCTCCCTCGCCCTCGTCCACGAATGTTGCCTCCTCTTCCCCGTCCTCGGAGGTTTGGAGGTGGAGGCACTTCATTGTGCATGGGGCCTCCCATGCCAAAGCCAGGGTTGTGTGGCTGGAAGAGAAAGCAGACAAGTGAGGGTCGCCTCCCCTCACCAAACAAGAGAATTTTTGCTGAAGCTGAAGACTCAAGGACATGTGCTTACCTTGGCAGCAAATTTAGGTCCCCCTCTGACAGGGACTGGGGCTCTCTTTTTTTTGTTGGCTTCGAGGGCAAGGGGAGCATCAGGGAAAAGCTTTTCCAGCGCAGCAAGGGCAGCATACGCCTTTGCCACCTTTTTGTTTGAACCAGCACCTTGAAACTTCTGTCCATCCACCTCGACCTGAAGACAATGGATGGATGGGTATGGAGGTGACACAGTGCCTTCCTCTGGGGAAGGAGTCCCACCTTTGTAGAGACCAGTTCCCCAAAGAAGAACTCAATCCAGGAAGCACAGGACTGGCCCTTGGTCACTCACCTCCATGACAAATCGCTTGTCGTGGCTGCCCCCAGTCTCAGAGATGAGCTCATACTTGAGGCCACGCCTCTTCTCATTAAGCTCCATAACTGGGTTCTTGCCATGCTTAGTTAGGATCGGCCCCTGCTGTTTTACGTTCTCAGGGAAAACACAAAAGAAAACCAACAAACTCAGCTACAGGCTATCCAACCACATGGTGGGATATAACTCAATCGGGGTTGAGGTCCTCTGCTCCACAGCCCCTGCCATCCCCATGAGTATATGCCAACTCACAAATGCCTACGCCAAATACCGCAACCAACCCCACCAGGCCCCACTCTGGCGAACCAAACCATTCCCTGTATGTTGTGGCTACAGTTTTAGGCGTGGGGGGAATCTTTTTTAATATAAAGAAACAAACAATGGCTGCCCGCTCTGCCCTCGTAGTCACTCCCAGCACCCACCACACGCTCACCTCGGCAGTTGCATCTGAGGGAAAGGCAGCACTGGGCGCTGAAACAGCTTCCACGACGGGAGGCGGGGCCGCCACTGCTGGCTTCGCATCTGTCTCCTCAGCAGAATCCTCCCCCTTGCTGGAATCCCTGCCTTCAGCGCCAGTTGGCAGGCCCATGTCCTGTAACACCTGCAAGGAGGCCAGACCCAGAGTCCTGATGTGGAAAGGACCAGTGTGGAACCTTCCCTGCAGGTCCTTGCAGCACCCTACAGCTGCCTGGGACATCCTGGATCAGAAGCTGAGGGTACAGCCCGGCAACTTGCAGTTACTTTTGAGGAAGCTCTAATAGCATTCTTGCCACGTGGTACTTGGCAAATGTCTGAAAATCTGACCTTGGTGTATCCATGCCTTCCCCAGGATGCATGCTATACCGATGGGGACTGAGGTCTCTAAAGGAGCCCAGGAGGAAACTGGTTTTGCCATTCAGAGGACATCAGCCACATTTACCTTAACAGCCACGTGCAGCTTGGCAGTCTTTTTGGATGGCCCAGAAGCCTCAAATGAACTTCCATCCACCTCCACAGACATAGTGAAGATAGGGGCATGGACAGGGCCCGTCTGGGAAACCAGCTTGTACTGCAGCCCTGGCTTCAGCTGGTTCAGCCGCATCAGAGCATTCATAGCTTGGGGAGGCTCAGCCTTCTCCTCTGAGGAGAGAACACCAAGATAGTTTGGAATGAGACACCAAAATGCCTGTCAGAGAAAGCCCAGGTGAGGACGCTGAAGTCTCAGTGACTGCTACACTGCCAGACAGTTTGGCCTGTGCTTCTCCCACAGCCACCCGCAGATGCACATCCACCCCCATGTGTTCCAGTCATCTGTGAGAAGTTATTGATTACTTAGTATTAGGGATCAAAACTGAAGCCTCGAACATGGTCAGGCAAGGGCTCTCCACTGAGCTATAACCCCAATCTAATTTTTAAAAGGACTTAAAAATCACATTTAAGAAAAATGAAGGTCAGAAAGTGGTGCACACCCATAATCCCACCTGCTGAAGAAGCTGAGGCAGGAGGACTGAGAGTTCAAAGTCAGCCTCGGCAACTTAACGAGGTCCTTAGCAACTTAGTGAGACCCTGTCTCAATAAAATATGAACAAGAGCTAGGGATGAGGCTTAGTGTTTGAGAGCCCCTGGGTTCAATCCCCCATACCAAAACAAAACAAAAAATTAAAAAAAAAAAAAAAAAAATCAAGTTGCTGGGTGTGGTGGTGTACAACTGTAATTCTAGCAAGCTGGAAGGCTAAGGCAGGAGGATAGCAAGTTTGAAGCAAGCCTCAGCAATTTATATGGCCCTCAGCAACCCAGGAGACCTTGTCTCGGGGAAAAAAAAAAAAAAACAAACAACCAAATTCAATGTTGGGGCCAACCTAATTGAAGGAGGACTAAATCAACAGCACCAACAAGATATATGCCTGTACCTTTCTTTTGAATCTTCTTCTTCTTCTTGCTGGGAGACTTTTCTTCACCATCCTCTTCCATTGGGCGTTTCATGGGCGTAATGGCATAAGTAGTGCTGGGGGGGATTTGAACTGAAACAGGAAAATAGGGTGGAAGGGCTGTAGGTGGCCACTCTGAAGAGCCTAGCTACCCAATGCCTGTGTATGCTTACCGGTGTAATCCACTGGATTCTCATTCTTTGGTTTCTTGGGCATCTTGGAAGGCAAGGGGTCCATTCCGAGTACTTTATGAAGCTGGCCAAATGCAGCAAGTCGTAGTGCATGCTGGAGAAGGGGAAGAGGAGTCTGACCTGGCTGCCCTGTGCTCACAGCTATAGCATATGTTGCTCACTAATGTCTTCTGAGATGGAGCAGGAGCTGGGTAACTACTAATGATCTCCCCTACATAAAGAAGGGGTCCCCCAACAGCCAGGGCAGGGCCTGACCGACTGCTTCAGCCCAGCCTTGCTGTGGGGGAAGGCCAGCCAGTGACCACCCCCCTTAAAGAAGAATACAGGAGACCCCAACCTGGGCACTGGTTGCCACACGGAGCCAGGTGGTGGGCCTGCACAGGGGAAGGACCCCTGGAGCAATCTGTATAGCAAACATGTCTCCCCGCTGCACTCAATATGCCAACAGGGCACTCAGGCAGACTGAGGGGCAGACAACAACCACGCATGGCGCCAAGGGGAAAGAAGAATCCCAGATTGGGGCGCCCTGTATCAAAATTCATGCCTTGCCTTCAGTTCACAACCTGAACCTATGATCCAGGGGCTGCCCTGTGAATACTCAGTAATGGAACTGGGAGCCAGTGAGTGCAAACTGGGTACGGGCTCACGTTGGCAATGGCGACAACTATACCTGCGCACTCTGTGTGATATCTTCCCGTTGCTGTCTGTCTAGATGCCCAATAGCATCAGTGGCTTCTTTTTCACAAGGGTCATAAATGCCAGAACCATCTGAAGGCAGGAAACAAGGAAGATATGCAGAGGATTATCTTTTAGCATCTCAGAAGAGTTGTGCTGGCTGAGGGGACCAGGTGCGTTACTCCCCCGCGCCCCATCCACACCCAGCTCTGGAAAACACGCCGAGCTCGGTGACCCACTCGGCATCCAGCCCTTGACAAAAATAATCCACATATGTCTCAGAGCAAGAAAGTCATGTGGGAGTGGGTCACCACTGCCCCCGGATCCGCCCTTTGAATCACAGCTGCGGACCCGGCACAGGGCTGGATATGATGGTGCAAGAGGGTAATCACATGCTTCGGCCCTAGCGGGGTACACGGAGCTGCTGCTGCTGCTGCTGCCCTAACCCAGTCAGTGGACCAGCGAGGAGGTGGCCAAAGGGCCTTGATCCCTGTCCTTTCCCTGCAACTTGCAAACCACAAGGCCCCAACCTGGCATCACGATGCCGGACGCCAAGCACTCCAGCACTCTCCTCAGGGCCTCGCCAGCACCCATGGGCCGATTGGCTGTTCCAATGGACTTCTCACACAGGAGCTCCAGGGGCTGAAAGGAAAGAGTGAAAGTGAGTAACAGGTTTTGGGAGGGGCCTGGCTAAGTCCAAAGCAAGGCAATATTACTGGGTGAGTGGGACAGGGGTGGGGAGTAGGAGAATCACAGCCATCCAGTTATGTCAAAGCCAAAGGTGAGACCTGAGGCAGGATTCAGTACACTATTTTCATTCTTTTTTTTTTTCCCCCACAGAGACATACTCAAGGGAGAATGGGTACCACCTTGAGAGCAAGAAGCTTTCAAGATAAAGCAAAGAATACTCTTTCAAGGGACAATGCAGGCTACCTCCAAAGGGACAAGCTCCTTTTTCTTTCTTGGGGAGATCCTGGGAATGGAACCCAGGGCCCTTGCATATGCGTGGCAAGTGCTCTGTCACTGAGCCGTATCACCAGGCTTGCCCAAGAAATCTTTTTGGCTGTATGTACCAATGTACAATATTGAGCATATAAGTAGGTACATAAAAACACCCAAAGGAAATAGGCAGCTGGCTAGGAATGGTTCAAAAGCTCTAGTTTGACTATCCAAGACCATCTGCAAATGCTTCTTATGAAACAAGTCACATTGTACAGGCTGGCCTGCCTTCTTCCCTGGGCTAAGCCTGAACATCCCCCATGGAGGATCCTTATCTAGCTCTTAGGCCACCCAGAGTCTGGACAACAGTAACTGCCCAACAAGAAACAATGAAGGGACATGATAGCCACACCTTGAAAGGCCATACATGCCCAGTATCACCCAGTATTCCTGAAATAGGAGACAGCCTCTGCTATACACAACCCTCTGGTCATGGCTACAGGTGCCTTACCCATCCTCTGAGGGGGCCCCAGGTGGGTACACGGGTACACAGATCCCTCAGAACTCGAATGACAATGACACATGACTTCAGCCCATTGGCTCTTGCCTAAAGAAGAAAGGACAGATTCTTTACATGAAAGCACTTCCCTAGAAACAAGGCCAACATGGACAACACAAGTTTCATGGTGCTGCTTTGCCAAGGGTAAACGGTTAAGTGTGCACAACCACCAAGTATGTGGTCAGCAGTGACTTCACCGGGTGTATGACACTGCTGTTACTCTTAACACAAAGCAGCAGCAGCCCACCTGCTTGGTCACAAGGCTCCTCAGGGGTGTCAAATTTGTTTACGTGCTCTGTGTTAGCAGCTGCACGGCCATGGCCACAGGTGCTAAGATCAGCACGGCTATCGTCAATGTTACAGAAACTTTATGGTAAAAGTTAGCCAAGTTAAAACTTAGGAATTCTCTACCAAAAGACAAAGAGAAGAACAAAATGCAAACCTGGAACCATTTGGCGTGTCGGAGGGACGCCAAGGCAGCAAGGCATTTCTGCCTGTCCAGAACATCCGGGGGATCGTTGACTGATAGCGTTTCTATTCATGGATGGAATAAGAAGACAAGGTACAGTTTGACCAAGGGGTTTCTGTCAGGTGGAAAGGGGATATGGCAGCTTCCTAAAGGGCAGCTGAGTCTCCCAGAATCTGAATTCATCTCCACCCTTGACCAGGGAAGGAGAAGCTAGAGTGCAATGAACTCTGCCCTGAGAGGAAATCAGAAAAATTGGAGGCCCCCTCCAAAAAAAACCAAAAAAACAAAAAACAAAAAAACAAAAAAACAAAAAACCAAAAAAACAACAACCAAAAAAAACCCCCAAAAAACAAAAAAACAAAATTAAAAGTGGGAAGTTATTCTAAAAGGAATAATCCATGGGGAAAGGAGGAAAGATAGGTGCATCCTATCTTCTAATAGACTATTCCCTTGCTTCCTCCCCATAAATTCGCTAGACTAGAATTTTCGATAGGAAAAAAAAAAAAAAAGACGACAAAAAAGGTGGGGGAGGGGAAATAAACTCCCGCTCTGCTTCCCACAACAGCCATCCCAAGGCATCTGTGGCAAAGGGGACCACCTCCGCCCACTAGGCGGGACTGCCCTAGCCCCAGCCCTTGACAGAGAGAGTCCTGTTGGTCAAAGGTCCAGCGTCCCTAAATGGATAAGCTAGAAGGGCTTTTGCTTTTCAGCTTCAGATATGAGAGCCAAAGGTAAATAACATAACTGCAAAAAGGGTGCCATGTCACTCTATGCTGCAACAGAGCCGGAGTGTGTATCTATTCTGCCATCTATCCGGGACTTGAATAAAGTCTGAGACAGTCATGGGAGAGGCCCAGGGTAGACAATGAATTGTGGACACAGAATCAGTGTCCTATGTGCAAAGATTAAGTTGGAAAGGCTTGCAACAGTTTACAATGTTGCAATGGGCCCTTGATGTCTCAGACATTTGACCAGACAGAAGTACCAATGGCAGAGGACAAAGGAAGCAGCCCTCAGTTCTGCTGCAACACAAACTGACCTAACAATTCCAATGTGACATTCATGCACAAGCCATCTGTTTGTCATTAACAACTGCAAAATTGTAAGATTACCAGGGACCCATTTTTCCAAGGCCAGAGAATGGCTCAACAGGGAGACAAGTTTAATGCTTACATGAAAGAAGATTCAAGGATTAAGAAAAACAATGGTGCAATTCCCTATGAAAAGTGCTACTCACTTTTAGTGCCACCAAATGGACAAACTCCCAGTGATCAAAGCCAATAGGAGATATGACCTCAAGAGTAAAGGTGGACAAATCTACACCTGTACCCTCTAATCAAAGCAGTCTAAAACTGAATAGCACATTTGAACAGTGAGGGAACACCAAGTTTTCAATTTCCTGACAGCCTGCTTCAGCTTCCCTACCTCCAGCTAATACTTTTTCCATTTCTTCTCTGACAACAGGGGATGTCAGGTGGATGGTCAGGGACAATGGAGGTTCTTTTGTATTTTTTATCACAATTGCAGCATCATCCACAGATTGGAGTATTTCATACTTGTCTTCTGTTACAGCCTGAAATAGAAAATGCAACTTTCAAAACACTTTTCCCAGAGCAATCAACAGTTCTGGTTGACTCTGCCAGTTTCTGTAACAGAAGCCAGCTTTTCAGGGTGTAATATGCCAGGTAAGCCTCCATCTAGCCTGTCCCTTAGCTGGCTCAGCCCTGGGGAATTTTCTTGCTATTCTGAAGGAGGAGTCACTAATTCCATAGGCAAGAGAAATCATTTCTACTAACTTCATGATGCAATGTGTACCAGACACAATGGCACACACCTGTAATCTCAGTGACTTGGGAAAATGAGGCAGGAAGATCCCAAGTTGGAGATCAGCCTGGGTAACTTAGTGAGACCCTGTCTTAAAATAAAAAGGGCTGAGGACATAGCTCAGTGGTAAGGTACTCGGGATTCAACTGCTAGTACCAAAAAGGAAAAAGCAATGAGGGCTGAGAACAGTGGCAGAAGTCCAAGCTACTATGGAGGATGAGGCAAGAGAATCACATGAACCCAGGAGTTCAAAGATAGTGTACACTGTCAACATAGTGAAAACCCCATGAAACAAAAAATGCAACAGGGAAGAGCTTAGGATCAGGCAGGAGAACAGGATATGGGGCTGGGGATGTAGCTCAGTAGTAGAGCACTTGCCTAGCATGTACAAGGCCCTGGGTTCAATCCCCTGCACCATAAAAGACTTAAAAATATATATACTGAAGGAGAACAGAGTGTGAATCTTCCTTTTGTTACTTAGTAATCGATAACTTTGGATTAATCAATTTTATTAAGTCTGAGGTTTCTAAGCCAGGAGTGGTGGTGCCACAGTGGCTTGGGAAACTGAGGCAGAGGATCCCAAGTTCAAAGCCAACCTCAGCAACTTAGCAAGGCCCTAAGCAATTCAGCAAGACCCATTTTTAAATAAAATACAAAAGGGCTGGAGGGCTGGGGCTGTAGCTCAGTGGCAGAGTGCATGCCTAGCATGTGTGAGGCACTGAGTTTGATCCTCAGCACCATATAAAAATAAGTAAAATAAAGGCATTCTGTCCATCTAAAAGTACAAAAAGAATTTTAAAAAGTGGGGGAGGCCTGGGGATGTTGCTCAGTGGTTAGGTGGTCCCTGGATCACCAAAAAAAAAAAAAAAAAAAGGTTGATTTGAAAAATGAACTGGGGCTGGGGATGTGGCTCAAGCAGTAGCGCGCTCCCCTGGCATGTGTGCGTCCCGGGTTCAATCCTCAGCACCACATACAAACAAAGATGTTGTGTCCACCGAAATCTAAAGAATAAATACTAAAAAAATTCTCTCTCTCTCTCTAAAAAAAAAAAGAAAGAAAGAAAAAGAAAAATGAACTGATCATGTCCACACCATAAGGCTGCAGGGACAGTTCGAAGTCTGTGGGAAGCATAGGCAAATGGTATCCAGCTATGGCTATTTTAATGCTGCATTAAACTGCCAAACTGTGGAATACAAACCACATGAGGTTAAAAAAAAAAACAAAAAACCCCACCTCCATCAAGTACAGTGGAATAGGCCTATAATCCCAGCAGCTCAGGAGGCTGAGGCAGGAGGACTACAAATTCAAAGCCAGCCACAGCAACTTAGTGAGACCATGACTCAAAACAAAAAAATAAAACTGAGAATGTGGCTCTGGGGTTAAGAAATCCTGGATTCAATTCCTGGTATATAAACACATACAAAGTCTATATCCTATGACACGTTTGTAAGTATGTACTACAAATGAAAATCTATAAAGATGTTCACAACAATCTGACTTTTCCTTTCTTTATTATTATTTATAGCACTTCATGACAAAAACTCAAGCTCTTAATATTTTGGTTAAAGGAAACAAAGTAACTGTGCTGTGGAGAAAATGAAGGGACCAGAAAATCTAAATTAAGATTTCTTTCCTGTAATTCCAGTCACTCAGAGGAAAGGAAGTGTACAAGTCTGCGCCCAGCCCCAGCAACTTGGAAAGACCCTAAACAACTTGGTGAGATCCTATCTCAAAATAAAAACATAAAAAGGGCTGTACTTGTAGCCCAGTGGTAAAGTGCCCCTAGGTTCCTCAGTACCAATAAAAAGATTCATCCACTTAGGCACAATCCACCTTCTGGGCTGATTTTTTTTTTTTCTTTTTGGACAGTACTGGGAATAAATCCAACGAGTTAAATCCCCAGCCCTAGGTATTTTGAGACAGGATCTTGCTAAATTGTCAAGGCTGCTCTCAAACTTGGCATCATCCTGCCTCAGCCTCTTGAATTGCTAGGATTACAGGCATGTGCCATTGTGCTCAATTTGGGCTGAAAACTCTCAGTTGAGGGAGAGGAAAGCTGCTCTGTGCATCACAGGATGTTCAGCAACATCCCTGTCCCCTATTAGGTGTGGGAGTATCCACCCCACCCCTGTTGTCTCCAGATACAACCAAATATCCCTGAGGAAAAAAAATAACAATCAAATGATTAAGATAGTTCCCTTTTTTTTGAGCTGGGCTTTGTACTTAAGAGTCTTGCACATGTTCAACATAAACTCTACCACCCAACTACAGCCCAAGCCCATATTAATTATTTTATCTTTTTTCTAAAGAGGTACTTCACCACTTTTACTTCTTATTTTAAGCAGGGTCTTGCCAAGTTTCTGAGGCTGGCCTCAAACCTGTGATTCTCTTTGCCTCAGCCTCCTGAGTTAGGGAGACTGTAGGCAGGCGCTGTTTCATTATTAATTTTGGGGGGGAGGTACCAGGGATTGAACTCACGGGCACTCACCCAATGAGCCATATCCCCAGCCTTATTTTGTATTTTATTTAGAGACAGGGTCTCACTGAGTTGCTTAGCACCTTGGTAAACTGCTGGGGCTGGCTTTAAATTCACAATCCTCCTTGTCTCTGCCTCCTGAGCCGCTGGGATTACAAGTGTGTGCCACCACGCCAAGCTTCCTTTTTCTTTCCTTAAATATTTTTTTTAGTTGTAGGTGAACACAATACCTTTTTATTTTTTTATATGTGGTGCTAAGGATCGAACCCAGTGCCTCACATGTGCTAGGCAAGCCCTCTACCGCTGAGCTACAATCTCAGCCCCTCCATTACTTTTTGTAAAGAAAGACTCTTGCTGGATGTGGTGCACACACCTATTATCCCAACTTTGGAAGCTGACACAGGAGGATTGCAAGTTCAAGGCCAGCTGCAGCAAGTTAGTAAGACCCTGTCCCTAAGATATAATAAAGAACCCAGGGCTCAATGCCAAAGGCCATGGGTTCAACCTCCAGTGCCACATGGGGGAAAAAAAAAGAACGACTACAAGTTTTTCCTTTAAAAATACACCAATTTGCTACACTTAAAACTTTTTTACACAATGGTAAAATGAATTTAAAAGTTATGACTAAGGGCTGGGGTTGTGGCTCAGCGGTAGAGCGCTTGCCTAATATGTGCAAGGCCCTGGGTTCGATCCTTAGCACTACATATAAATAAAATATTGTGTCCAACCACAACTAAAAAATATGAAAAAAATAAATAAAATTAAAAAAAAATAAATACTATAGGGGCATCCTCTTTAATAGGTCCTCAAGTGTTCCTAAGGTACTACACTCATTACAGATCTCAATTTTGATCTTTGTCCTGAATCCCAAACTATCAGCCCCATGTGCAAGAACAAATGATTACAAGTGAAAATGTTTTATTTTCAATAGAATAAGACTTAGGGCTCATTTTAAATTTCTTTTTCTTTCCTTTTCTTGTAGCTAAATCCAGAGATCATCCTGAAGAGGCAGCATACAGCAGTGATGTACAGGTTGACCTCTTAACAATTCCCTGCCTCAGCCTACTAAATAGCAGGGATTATAGGAATGCCACCACGTTAACATTATGCCTGCCTGCCTTTCTTTCTTCTTTCCTTTCTTCCTCTCTTTCTACTACTGGGGATTGAACTCAAGGGAGCACTACCTCTGAGCTACAACCCAATCCTTTCTATTTTTTTTTTGAAACAAGGTCTCACTAAATTGCCTAGATTGGCCTTGAACTTCTGATTTTCCTGCCTCAGCCTCCCAAATCGTTGAAGATGACAAATGTGCACCACCATGCAAGGCTACGATGTTTTTTTGTTTGTGTGTGTGTGTGTGTGTGTGTGTTGCTAGGGATTGAACCCATGGCCTTGTGCATGTGACGCAAGCAGTCTACCAACTGAGCTATATCCCCAGCCCCAAACAATGCTTTTTTAATGGAACAAATACATGAATGTTGAGAGGCTGGGAGTGTGGCTCAGTGGTAGTGCTCTCGTCTTGCACATGGGAGGCACTGGGTTCAATCTTCAGCACCACATAAAAATATAATAAAGGTATTGTGTCCATATACAACAAGAAATATATTTTTAAAAAATAAGTGAATGTTTAAAAATAAAATGTCTGTCTGTAACCAGGTCTGGCTGAGGAAGGAAGATTAATTCTTGTATCATCTATCTACCCATCCAATTGAGTCTGGCTATGGATCTTGTGCAGCCTTGTACATGACAACCACTAGGTCCTTACTAGCTGGCAATGTATGGATGCCATTATCACCAGCAGGTGACTTCCTACAGATCCTCAGTTGCTCTGTGGTATTCTTCCTATTAGCTACAGAGGAGGTCTCCACATGCGAGTATAAGAGGGAGCCTGCATGATCCTTTTCCTTTGCCTCATGTCCTCCATTACACCCTCCTGCCTGCTCCCACCCCAGGCCATTGGTGGTGTTAACACTTACAGCGAGCTGGATGGCCAAGTTGTCAGCCACCTTGTCCAGGAGGGCAGTTGTGGGCTTCTCCTTACATAGCAGCACCAGCTCCAGATCCAAGTCTCCCTTCAGGAGAAGGCCTTTTGCCACAAGGCCAACCCTCATCACACCTCGCAGAGTCCTGGTCATATGTTCTGCCTTCTGTTCCCTGAGGGACAGACCAAAGCCTGGCTCAGTGGGAAGTGGGTGTAACCAGGACCCAGAGAGGTAGAATTTCTTAGGAAAAAGAGATGATGACCTCTACACTGACTTGTCTCACAACACAAAATCTCAAACTTACCCTGACCCTTCTTTGCTCTCATCGTCTGGGGGCACATCCATGTTGTCAGACTCAGCATGCTCGCCACTGCCCTTCTCCTGCTCATCAATCCAATCAGACACAGCTTTGAGGGCCCGCTCAGTGTGAGACACCATGTTCTGCACTGCCTCCAGTTCCTCTTGTGTTGGATAAACCGAAGAATGCTTTGCCATCACATGGCGATCATCATTCACAAAAATTCGCATTGGACGCTGGAAATGTGAAAACTAAGCTAAAAATGATGTAAAGAGACTAGGCAACCCACCACTTCTCATTTGAGTTGCACATTTCCAAACAGTCACATAAAAAATGACTGTGTGAATACAAATGAAGGACTAGGAAGCTAGACAACTAAATTTTGCTGTTTTCTCCAAGCAAAAGGAATGGGGCAATATACACCTCTATACTACAGTAGTCCCCCTTGTCCGCGGGGGATACATTGGAAGACCCCAGTGGATGTCTAAAGCCGTCAACATGTCAAACCCGACATAATCCTATGTTTTTCCTCTACATAGGTAAGTATATAAAGTTTAATTTGTAAATCAGGCAAGTAAAAGATTAAAAACAATAACATAACAATTATAACAAAAACTGTAATTAAGTTCTGTGACTGTGGACTCTCTCAAAATATCTTATTGCACTGTACTCACCCTTCTTCTTCTTGTGATGAAGTGATGATGATACAATGCCTACGTGATGAGATGAAGTGAGGTGAATGACGCAGGCATTGTGACGGTGCACAATTTAAAACCTATGAATTGTTTATTTCTGGAATTTTCAATTTAATATGTTCAGACCACGATGGACCACAGGTAACTGAAACCATGGCAAGCAAAAACGCGGATAAGGGGGGACTACTGTATTTGAATTATTATGACACACATTACTTTATAATTTAAAAAGTCTAATATAAAATGGTAACAGTCAAATGCTTTGGGGAATTACTACAAACATCTTTGCGCATAAATTAAGAAAACAAAAACACAACTTTCTTACCATTTTTCTTTCTTTTTCTGTAGTGTCTGCAAATCAAACTTTTGCTTATCTTTTCAAATTGTCACAGATTTCCTTGGTGTTATCAATACTTCAACTATCTATAAGACCAGAAAATCTTATTAGTTGCATATATTTTATACATAGTTTCTAATTTTAGCAGTCAGATAGATATTTGGCAGTAAGAACATGGGTGCTGCCTCACAAAGGGGCCTGTTAACACAGAAGGACACATCTTTGTTTTCAAGTATCCAGTGCTAAACCAAGGCACTCAACTATAAATTCCCTTAAAATGAAAAGTGCTACTTTCTGGAAGTCAGGTCTGACTTCCAGCCCACACTCAGTTTTAACTCGTTTTTCTATCTTCCTTCATCATCTCTTCACATACATAAGCATTCTTTTTTCCTTTCTTTTTTTTTTTTTAAGATTTTATTTACTTATTTATTTTTTTAGTTCTCAGCAGACACAACATCTTTGTTGGTATGTGGTGCTGAGGATCGAACCCGGGCCACACGCTTGCCAGGCGAGCACGCTACCGCTTGAGCCACATCCCCAGCCCCCTTTATTCCTTTCTTGTGCCTTGCACACATTAGGCAAATGCTCTACTGCTGTGTCACACCCCCATCCCCAAGTCTATCAATTTTTTTTTTAAAGAGAGAGAATTTTTTAATATTTATTTTTCAGTTTTCAGTGGACACAACATCTTTATTTTATTTTATGTGGTGCTGAGGATCGAACCCAGCGCCCCGCGCATGCCAGGTGAGCGCATTACCGCTTGAGCCACATCCCCAGCTCCCCAAGTCTACCAATTTTTATAAGTATGGCTCAGTGGTAGAGCACATGCTTAGAAGCCCTGGGTTCTAATAACAGGACCAAAATATATATACAAGAATATTAACAAGCCTGCAAAAAAAAAAAAAAAAACACAACAACAACAGTAAAAAGCAGAAAAGCTCATCAAAATCTTGGTGCTTAAAAAAGAAAAAAGAGCTTTAGAAGAGCTCTAGGCCTTAAATGTGCTAAAAAGAAGGAAAACAAGCACGAGAGTGAGCCAAAAGGCTTCTGTTTTATAGAAAAGCAAAGACCTTCTAAAAAATTAACAGGCACATATGACAACTACATCAAGTGGTATTCCTTTGGGCTCAACTCTAGAGAGGTTGAGACAAACGAAAACAGACAATGTAAGTCTTCACAATAAAAGTGGCTATAATTACAATTCTGGTCTCTACTAAATAACATGCCAACTACAACCTACTCAATTCCCGGTCTTTGCAAACAGTCTGCCCATACTGAAATCTTCCAAAGAAGTAAACAGCCATCCACAGACCAGATGACTCCACCTTCCCCCTCAATCATACAAACAGCAAGCAGTTTCACCAACAAATCCTAACATAACTGACCAAATCAAGAATTTCTCATGTTGCTTCAGGACTACCTAGCAATTCGAATTACAAACACATAAGTTTCTAAACCTTAACACCTAGGGAAAAACAGTGGGTGACACCCTCACAGAGTCAAGCAACAGGATGTAGGAGAGTTAAAGTCTTCATGAGAGGAAAGGGATAAAGGAACAACAGAGGGAGCATGGGGTGGGAAAAGTGGGAGACCAAGTCTGAGGCTTAGCTGCTCCCTGGGCCTGGACCCTTGGTGAGCCACTCAATCAAGTGGAAGCTTCCACACAAACCTGAGCCTGAAACCCTGTGCCCTCAGCCACTAGCTGTGCCCTCTTGAACAGTTTCAGTGCAGCTTTCCTCCCTACAGCTGCAGCATGGAGGTAGTCCCTTTACTCTATGCAGGGAGACTGAAAATTACAGGAGTCAACCTACAAAAAGCATATGACAGAAATCCCTCAAAAATAATACCAACTTGGAGCTGGGGCCGTACTTCAGTGGCAGAGCACTTGCCTAAGCATGCTGCTTATCTGTAACTACTGGGGGGGGGGGGGGAGACCAAATTGTACTCCCAAAAAAATCTACATTACCAGACTGATGCAGATTGATGAGCAAACTGCACGCCCAACAGGAGACTGCAGAAAGAGAATCCTAAATTCAAGACCAGCCTCAACAGACCCTGTCTCAAAATTAAAAAAACAAACAGAGATGGTAGCTCAATGTTTAAGACCCCTGGGTTCAATCCCTAGTACCAAAAAAATAAATAAAAGGTCTGAGCTGAGGTAGACTTCACAGCCTCAGCAACTTCACAAGGCCCTAACCAACTTAGACAGACCCTGTATCAAAATAAAAAGAAAAACGGGCTAAGGAAGTGGCTCAGTGGTAAAGCACCCCAGGGTTCAATCACCAATACCAAAAAAAAAAAAAAAAAGGACTGGAGACTGTAGCTCAATAGTAAAGTTCAAAGGGGAACTTTACTATTGATAGCTGCTGAAGCTGGGAGATGGATATACTGGGGTTCGCTTGTGTATGTTTTAAAAGTTCCATGACAGTTTTTTTAAAATATCTTTATTTTGTTTATTCATTTTTATGTGGTGCTGAGAATCTAACCCAGTGCCTCACATGTGCAAGGCAAGTGCTATGTCACTAAGCCACAACCCAGTCCCATATGACAGCTTTTTTTTTTTTAGTTGTAGATGGACACAATACCTTTATTTTATTTGTTTTCATGTGGTGCTGAGGATTGAACCCACTGCTTCACATGTGCTAGACAAGTGTTCTACCAATAAGCCACAACCCCAGCCCCTCCATGACAGTTTTTTAAAATATTTTTTTTAGTTGTAGTTGGACACAATGACTTACTTATTTTTATGTGGTGCTGAGGATCGAACCCAGCACCTCGCACGTGTTAGGCAAGCGATCTACTGCTGAGCCCCTCCATGACAGTTTTTTTTTTGTTTTTTTTTTTTATTTTTTTATTTTTTTTTTTTTAAGAGTGAGAGAGGAGGGAGGGAGGGAGAGAGAGAGAGAGAGAATTTTTAATATTTATTTTTTAGTTCTCGGCGGACACAACATCTTTGTTGGTATGTGGTGCTGAGGATCGAACCCGGGTCGCACGCATGCAAGGCGAGCGCGCTACCGCTTGAGCCACATCCCCAGCCCTTGTTTTTTTTTTTAAAGAGAGAGTGAGAGAGAGAATTTTAATATTTATATTTTTTTATTATCAGCGGACACACATCTTTGTTTGTATGTGGTGCTGAGGATCGCAGCTGGGACGCATGCATGCCAGGCGAGCACGCTACCACTTGAGCCACATCCCCAGTCCCCATGACAGTTTTATTTAAATAATTTTTAATTGTAGACAGACACCATACCTTTTTTTTATTTTTAATTTTTTGTGATGCTGAGGATGGAACCCAGTGCCTCACATATGCTAGGCAAGCAAGCGCTCTACCACTAAGCCACAACCCCAGCCCAGTTTCATTTTTAACGCAGAATAAACTTAAAAAACTTCTACAAAGGTGCAGACATGGCAGATAAACTAAAAAACGAAACAAACACAGCCTGTTTTCTGACAGGCACAAAGAGACACCTGAGCTACATGATAAACTGTGACAGTCTCCCAAGTCCTGTCACATGGCCACCAGGCTTGGTCTTATCTATGCTGCAATATCATCAATATGAGGAGGAAGAATGCAGTTTAAAACCCTATTTATTTATTGAGCTGGGGTTGTGGTTCAGTAGTAGAGGAGCACTTGCCCAGCATGTGTGAGGCACTTGAGCCCAACTCCCACACCAAAAAAACAGCAGGGATTGTGGCTCAATGGTTAAATGCCCCTGGGTACAATCTCTTAAAAGTAGTTATAGAAAAGGCAAAACTAATGAACACTAGAAAAAAATTCAGAACCATGAGTGGGGATAGTGGTAGGGACCACTTTGGGAAGGAGCCTAAGAGGGCTTTTTAGGATGATGCACTGGTCAAAACCCACTAAAGAGCACACTCAAGATCTGTACATAACTTTAAAAGGCAGGGGTGGGGGGAGGGGGAGGAGGCAGCCACAGTGGCACACACCTGTAATCCCCTATCACTTTGGGGGCTGAGGCAGGAGGATTGGCAAATTTGAGCCAGCTCAGGCAAGTTAGGAAGACCTGTCTCAGAATAAAAACCAAAAAAAGATTTGGTGTGGTGGCACACACCTATAATCCCAGTGACTTGGAAGACTGAGGTCCTAAGCTGCTTAGTAAGACCCTGTCTCAAAAATTAAGAAAGGGGGCTGGGGTTGTGGCTCAGCGGTAGAGCACTCTCCTAGCATGTTCGAGGTCCTGGGTCTGAGGCTCAGCACCACATAAAAATAAATAAATAATATATTGTGTCCAACAAAAAAAGAAAGGGAAAAAAAAAGGGCTGGGGATATGATCCAGTGGTTGAGCACACAAGTTCAATCCCCAGTATCAGATAATTAAAAAAAAAAAAAAAAAAAGAGCTGGGGATGTGGCTCAGTGGTAGTGCACACCCCTATGTTCATTCCCCAGTACTGGGGTGGCAGGAGTGAGGTAGGGCAGAAGGAAGAGAGGGGGTAAAGAAAAAGAACAATAATTACCTAAAAAACTACTGAAACAGCCAGCACAATGCTGCATACCTATATACCCAGCTACTTGGGAGACTGAGGTAAGAGAAGCACAAGCTGAAAGCTGGGCAACTTGATGAGACCCTGCCTCAAAATAAAATTTTAAAACATGGGGATTACAGCTCAGTGGTAAAGCACCCCTGGGTTCAATCCCCAGTAGCACTCCCCAACAAAAAACAACTCCAGCTAAGCCACAGAGGGAAGACTTCAACTTTGTGCTGCTATTTAGATTGAAATACACCATAAAAAGTAAAGTAACTGGGCTGGGTTGTGGCTCAGTGGTAGAGCACTCGCCTCGTATGTGTGAGACCTGAGTTCAGTCCTCAGCACCACATAAAAATAAAAAAACAAAATAAAGATATTGTGCCCTGGTTGGGGATGTGCCTCAAGCGGTAGCCCGCTCACCTGGCATGCGCGGGGTGCTGTCGATCCTCAGCACCATATTAAAATAAAGATGTTGTGTCCACCGAAAACTAAAAAATAAATATTAAAAAAAAAATTCTCTCCCCCCCTTTAAAAAAAGGGGGAAAAGGGCTGGGGATGTGGCTCAAGCAGTAGCACACTCGCCTGGCATGCGTGCGG